CCCGATGCCCAGCTGCTGATACTCAGGCCCCCTGAGGCCCAAACTGCCCGCCCGAGGCCCAAACCACCAGCCCGAGACCCAACCCTCCTGCAGCCTGGTCGCTGACACCCAAGCCCCCAGAGGCACAAACGCCCTGCTGCCGAGGCTCAGGCCCAACTGAGGCCAAAAAAGGTTACTCTGTTAAGCAATAAGAAGAGGGAAAAGGGAAGAACACATCCTGTTCACATCTTCCTGGAGGTAATCTGAAAATATGAAAAAATTACCAAAATACATAATTAATTATTAGGGCCACAGATAAACATTAAACATTTCTAAGAAGCAAAAGCAGATGACCATATAGGCACATGTCCAGAAAAAAGATAAAATATCTGAAACAAATGAAACAGAAGTAGACCTTCTCTCCATACTGGAAGGAGGGCAGGCCTTGGAGAAACCTGAGAAAGAATTCAGAAAAATGATTCACCAAAGCCAACCCTGCGCTATAAAACATCCTAAAGAGAGTTCTGTGGACCGAGAACCAACAAGAACAGACAACAACCACAGACTGAGCTACGTGGCAGCACCTCCCTGAATTAAGTAAACAGAAAGAAGAAATGTTAACAAAACAAAACTATAAGAACAAACTCAAAGACTCTGGGAGGGCAGGCTATGACCAAAATAAGTACAATGCAAAAGAAGGGGAACACGTAGGAACAGAGATCCAGACAATGAGAAGGTCGGGTAGATTACAGGATAAAATAGACTGCACTATAAAAGGACAGAGAATTGAATGGACCAGAAGGCAACCTCAAAGAAAATTAACACTTCACAGCATACCAAGAGAATGAGAATCCAAGAAGAATATGAAAACATTAAAACTATGAAGAAACACACACAAGAGCGAGCATACAAATAATGAATTCAACAGAGAAAGGCAAACAGAACAAAGAAGCAGCAACATCACGAAAAAAACAAATATAATGACAACAAATAATCAATACCTATTGATAATTACACTGAATGTAAATGGATTGAATGCACCTGTTAAGAGACTGAGGGTGGCAGAATGGATAAGAAAACAAGATCCTTCAATATGCTGTCTGCAAGAGACGCATCTCACACACAGAGACAGAAACAGATTAAAAGTGAAAG